TTAAAAAAATTGCTAGAATATTCCTTTTTTAAATAAATATCAAATATTTTAATTTTTAAGCAAATTTTATATATATGATTTTTCACTATTTAGGTACCAAATATGTACTCCAGAGCATTACTGGGTCATGATCCTCTTTCAATGACGTGTCCTCATTGTCAAAATCAGGTATATTATTAATACATGGGAATTATTTGACGACATTCAAATCGTCTTTGATCTTCGCATAATTACCATTAAGATCATTTATTATAAATATAGAACATAAAACGATAACATTAAAAACTCATATTCCTTGTGATTAATAAAAAAATAAAATTCAGGCCACGCGCTAATTATAATGTTTTATTCTGCAAGAGGAAGATATATAACAACCTTTTTAATAACATTTCTTCGTCATGTATTTTCCTCTCCCTGGGGCATTGCTTTTTGCAACTTTTTAAATAAAAAATTCTTTTTTTAAACATTGACTTTTATCTTAAATGTTTTTACTTATAAACTACTAGCCAGAGAACCCAGCGTTATCCAGGTTTATGTTATTTCGTAAAGTTTCTCCCGCCGTTTACCCGCGCTTGGTATTAAATCAAGATTTTAGCTGAAGTAACCATGCTGTTGCCCGTAAAATTTCAAAAATATTCAAATCTTTTTTTACTCCTGGGGTACCCATGGGCTATCTCAAAAAATGTTATCAAATTTGGTCAGCGATCATATATATTAATATGTATGAGCAAAGAGTTTTATTATAACCTATTTTGACTTACAATTACTATACACAGATGAAACGCATTAAAATTATTTTTTGTTGTGATTTTTCAAAAAGTTTTTAGAAATAAGAGAATTAAAAAATTCAGGGTTTAATTTTAGTTATCAATGTCTAACTATTGCTAATATATGCTTTTATAAATATCTGTTTTCCAATATTTAGATATACACGCAGGTGGATTCAAAACTCAGTCTTGTAGCTTGGATCATTTCAGGCATATTATGCCTATCTGGGTAATAATTAGACCTCTAATACATGATAAATCTTTTTAAAAGGAATTAAGTCTTTGCCATAAACTCTGATTTTCTAATCCCTATATCTTGTAAGTCCATGATGTAGAACTTTGATATTTCAAACTATAATTTCTGTTACATCAAATAATATAAGTTTGAAATATCAAAGGTTTACACAATAAGGTTGCAAAGATATAAGGATTTTTAGCAATACACTCAATTCCTTTACGATGAATTCTAAGGTATAAACATCAAAATTATTTCCTTTTAATTGTAAATAAACAACGTTTTTTTACATTTTGATTGGGTTTCTTTTTGCAAATTTTATCTATATATTTTTGTAACATTTTTGCATAAATATATATCTAGATGCTAATGTTCTATGTGTATCCACTGCTGTATACGGGGGGGGTGGTTGTACCCCCTTGTATCTATAAATATCTAGATGTTAATGTTGTATGTGTACCCCTTTCTGTATATGGGGGGTATGCACCCCCTTTGTATCTATAAATATCTAGATGTTGGTGTTGTATGTGTACCCTTTTCTGTATGGGGGGGGGTATGAACCCCCTTGTATCTAAAATATCTAGATGTTGATGTTGTATGTGTACCCCTTGCTGTATACGGGGGGGGGGTATGCACCCCCTTGTATCTATAAATATCTAGATGTTAATGTTGTATGTGTATACCCTGCTGTATGGATTCCTGCCATGATGTGGAGCACACCTGCCCAAACTGTCATTGTCTGATTGGAACAAAGAAAGCATTTTAGAAAAGATTTTGTGATTTCTATTTTCAAACTTTAATTTTTATGTTTTGATTGAAGAATTATATATTTTTAGTGTGATTTTCTTGATAATCTTTGTTTATAAATTAGGGTCCTTTAGGCTGAAAATAAATAAATAAATTCATTGGTATCATTTTATGGTAATTGAATTATAGCTTGAATATTACTAAAATTGTATGTTTAAAAAGGTTGATGCAAAAACAGAATCTCATTAACAAATTACAATACAAGTAGGATTAAGCATCTTAAAAAAAGGATTCGTCAAGAGTTGATTTAAATCCATAATGACGAGCGCGGAAGAGGAAGGGTTTTAACATAAATAAAAATAATCGATAATTAGTCAGTAAGGATTTCGTTAATTACAAATAACGAAGAAACAGTCGTTAGTGATCGTTGAAGATCGTCAAAAATAAAAAAATAAACTATCAATATTTTGCAGCCTGATGGTGTAAACCTTTGTTTTATACTTTGATCTAACAGAGTTAGAAGTTTGAAATATCTAAGGTTTACGACAGCGATATACTTTAAAATAAATTTAAAATGATTTAGTAGGTTTGAAGTGTTTTGTACTTTTTTATTTTTAATAAACTTAGTTCTCGTCATTCAAATTTGAGTTTTGCCCACTTTTTCAGGTAAAAAATTGTTTCGCCTGCATTGCTCCTCTTTCTGCATCTTTGTCCCCCCCAAGACTGTACAAGTACTGTAAAATATGTACTGTATAAACCTACTGTACATACCTTTGGTACTTTAGACTAACACATACTCTTTTGGTGCAGACACACACGCATGACGTTTCCGCCCCCTGGCTACGGACCGGCAAATATACAAGAAAGAAACGGAAATATAAATGAAATCTTAATACAGGATCACCCACAAAATATCACACTGTAAAGACGACCTGTCACTCTTTAAATATGGCACTTGCAAGGTTAAATTAAGTAATAATTATAGTCTTTTGATGCCCTTTTTATTAATCAGGCAAAGAAATGCCAAATTTCGAGTTGAAACCCTGACTATAAAGAAACAGACCAGTGTCAATTCTGTACAGTCGTATCTATTGTCCTATCCGTTGTGGGTAGTCCCGTACTTTGGTTTCCTAAAAGATTGAGAACAAAGTTGATTTTTCAAAAAAGCCATGCTTAAGTTTTATTATTCAAATCTATATTTGGTTTGAATTGTACAATTTAACATATTGTTAGATAAACACAGATCAACAGTGTTTATCTAACAATATCAAATCTATATTTGGTTTGAATTGTACAATTTAACATATTGTTAGATAAACACAGATCAACAGTGTCAACTAAAATCAAATCAGATCTGCAGGGACATCCAATTAAGACACTCCAATCCCAAAGTGAATTTCAAAGTCTCTGGACTGAAACTAGGGTTTCCATTCGCAAAAGTTTTGCGCAATTTTTGCGGAACGAAACGCAAAATTTTTCTTTCTTTGCGCATCAGTTTTGCGCGAAAAAACAACAATTTGCGCAATCATTCGCAAAAGTCATTTCGCGCAAAATTGCCCTATTCCGCTTTTGCAAAACTTAAGTTTTGCGCAATTCCGCAACTAGAGTTTTGCATAATTCCGCAATTTCGTAAAAATCAAACGGTTGGTGACGGTGTGTGTTTCTTAGAATTCAATTCTGGAAAAATCTTGTGTTGAAATGTCTTCATATTGGTCACTTTTACATAATTGACCAATGACAGTTAAGAAGAGTTCAAATCTTACGGAAGCGCACCTTATTCACTTGAAATTATTTAATAGGATTAAAATATTGCCAAGTTTCACACTCTCTAATTTCTATTTTATTAATTTTGGTCCCTTAATTTAAACTTTTTGTAACTGGAAGTAACCAATTGAGTCTTGTATAATCGTTATCATACTAGTATGTTAATATTTTTTATGATAAATCTTCAGTTGTTTAATTCTAAGCATAGAATATCAATTTTTGACAATTTGCCTAAGAAGTTACATTTTGCGTAAAACTTGCGGTTGTGCGCAAATTGCGCAAAAAAATTGCGCAAAACTAAAATTTTGTTTCTTGCACAACTTTCGCAAAAAATATTTCCGGTTTTGCGCAAATTGCGCTAAAAAAATAGCGCAAAACCGCGCAAAACTCATTGCGTTTCATGCGCAAAAATAGCGCAAAAGTTCGCAAAAAAAATTTGCGCAAAAGATTTAGCCATTTCGTGGAAACCCTAACTGAAACAAGGGATTACATTTTAAACAGAGGTTTTTTTGTGTTTTTAGTTTTTTGCGGTATCTACACTAATCCCGAAGTTTTAACTCAATCCTTCGGACATACAAAATTCTGGCAAGCAAGGTTTTATAATAAGATTGTCAACTCTCGATGCGCTCCATAGTACGGAAAATGTCGTCTTCTAAGATAGACAGAGAAAAACCTAATATGACGTCACTGACTATAGAGCGAGAGTGATCAAGTATTGGATAATCTTTTCATGTTAAATATTTTTCTACAGAATAGAGAGATTCATCGGTGAAATAAAAAATATGTTCAGGATGCACGAAAGTGAGTCAATCTAGCATGTTCATTACGGTAAATTTTTGATTATAAATAAGAGGAAAAATTGACATTTGCTCGTATTTTTTACTAGAAGATAAGGCGTAAGACTTGCAATGCACTACTCGTTCGTCTCTTTATTAGGACTAAAAAACAACTTGTTTTAACAAACCTGGGGATTAACTATACAAGATTCTGTTTTCTCTAGAATTTGGTAAAATTACTGTACTGTAAGATATTGCAAATTAAAACATAGAAGTAAATCTCTTGTATTTCAAAGAATATTTAAGGTTACCCATGTATTGCGAAATAAAATAGCTAAGTATCAAATCCAACGAACGTTTACTCTATGGAAATTGTTTAAATTTTTTTATCCTGATGAAAGATATTGAAGATTTCTTAACATTTCCTAGAATTTTGGTTCTGCTATTATAAAGAAAAAAATGATGTACGAATTAAACTGATTTTATAATTTGTACGATACTAATTACGAACTTAAAGATTATAGATTTTAACAATCATTTATTATCATTGAAATGTTTATAGACAAAATTCGTAAATCATAAAATATTGCATTAATTGCAATATAGTTAAGCAATCATCTTGAATGATAACACCATCTATCTTTGACCATCTCTTTCCGTGGTTGTACAATCTCTCTTTTTAGTGGGATGATGAAGACCATATATCTCAGTCTAAAGACGATTTCTATCAGTGGAAAGACGATCTCGCTCAGTGTATGTACCATTTCTTTCAGTGGATATATCATCTCTTTCAGTTGATGTACCATCTCTTTCAGTTGATGTATCATCTCTTTCAGTTGATGTACCATCTCTTTTAGTTGATGTACCATCTCTTTTAGTTGATGTACCATCTCTTTCAGTTGATGTACCATCTCTTTCAGTTGATGTACCATCTCTTTTAGTTGATGTACCATCTCTTTTAGTTGATGTACCATCTCTTTCAGTTGATGAACCATCTCTTTCAGTTGATGTACCATCTCTTTTAGTTGATGTACCATCTCTTTCAGTTGATGTTGTATCTATTTCCATAGATTTAGTATCTCTCTCAGTTGATATAACATCTCTTTTAAAATTCTGCATAAGCAGCGCAGAATTTGTTTTAATCGTCCTAAAAGCTATTTTTTTATTTAAAAAAAGAAAAGTTATGCGATTTCATCCATGATATATGTATTGGGCTCCGCAATTAGGACGCGGGTTATACAGAACGTCCAATATCTTGATTTTAATTATCTCTAAGTTTTAACGCCAAAATAAACCCATATTTCTCGAAAAACCTAGCATTTTTTCCCAAGAAAATTCTTACATTAGCCTTACTGAATTTTTCAAAATGATTCATTATTGTTAAATTTTCTGATTAGTCCCAAAAATCGTAATTTAGACCGATTGTCAGATTGGGGCACCCTGTAAGAAAGAAAATAAGTTGTTTCGGCGAAAGGAAGATGATGAAGCTGNATGCCTTTAAAATTTCAAATCTCTTATGAAAACAATGAAAACTTACGTAAATCTACATATGTATCAAGCATTTACAATTAAAACAAATTAAGAACCCTTGCCAAGGACAAAACATCTTTTTTCCCATTTCCCGTCTTGAAATGCAATTGAAAGGCCTATCACTAAATTTGATTTGAAGAGATAATAGAAGTTAAAAATTCAACAATTTTGACATGTTTTTACATTCGGGTAAAAAATCGCATTTTTGTATTGGGGGCAGTAACTGCACTAAAATCTAAGTACATCTTAGCATTGGATCTAAATCTGGATTTAGCCTATAAAGACGGAAAAAGGTTATATAAAAACAATTCTTTAGATATACGGATTATTTATTTTTATAGGGCTAATTATATTTGTTTTCTCGTTCTTGTTTCGTTTTTTTCGTTGAAAATAATTGGGTTTTTTTTCAAAACGTTTTTTGTATGTTTCCAATTTGATGTTTTAGAGATCTTCAGTCGTTCAGTAAAAACGTTCATTTTCTATTTCGTTCGTCTTTTAACCTTTCGTCGTTAACGAGACGGTCACTTCGTTGTTGCGAAAAAGTGAAAATTAAAAATCTCCACGTGTCCGTAAAAATCCTATAAACTCAACAAATCCATTGAACCAACATATAATTATTTCTAATATTTATTTCAAAAGTCAAATTCATTTAGAATTTTTTTCCTTTTCTGACCAGCTAACTCTTCAACCGCAAACACTGAAAAAAATATACTCAATAGTCAAATGAAAATCAAAAACAGTAGCAAATAATCGAGGGACCAGGGGCTGTTCATATAAAAGCGTAAACGACCTTAAGAAAAAAATTATTTTTGAATTATAAAGAAAATAATATGAAAGTGTAATAACAAATGGTTTCAATTGGACAAAAATATTTTCTATTTCATGTTTTTCTATTTTGATCCTGATTGAATGGTTTCGAATCAAATTTTTAGATTTCCGAATTAAATGTAGATTAAAATTCACATCTATAAAAAGAATGTTTTCTCTTTACCAAGTGCAGAAAGAACGTATCCAGATGACAGGATTAGAAATGGGACTGCAAGATGCTCTATATCTAGCTTTTCCTAAAATATCAGTAATAATTTAAGGGTGAAACTCGGAGGTGAAGTTATTTCATCGAAGTAACATTAAAAATCAATACTCATTCAGTAATTAACGATTTAAAATAACCGTGATCGTAAGTTAAGACCTATTTTTCAATTTTTTCAAAATATATTGAAATAAATATTAAAAGATGCGTCTTGAACCAACTTAGTTTCATTTAAGGATAAAACAACTGTTTTTTTTCGATACTATGACAATTATCTTTCTTGAATAATTTGCTTAGATATCAACGGTTTTTACGACTTTAACATTTCTGGAAGAGCTAAAAGCAAAAATCTGATTGAGTTTGAAAATTATAAATTCTCAAATGTTTTTTTAAAATGCATCAAAGCAAACTTTAGAACTGGTGCAATATGGATTTGAGCATTTTTTATCAAAAAAGTGTCAAATAGTGTCACTTTCCGTAAAATTAGGTTTTGTCTTAAAATTTTACTTGCTAGACATAGAATTTTGTTAGAAAACCCCAGATATATTAAAACACTGAAAGCAATTCGAAAGAAAAAAACTTGTTTGATAATTGAAAACGTATTGTCAGGGATATCTTATACTTTTTATTTCCCTGACGTTCGTATTGTCGAACAAAATATTAGAGATTTTGAACAAAATATTCGGGATTTCTAAATCCTTTCACATATTTTCTTTTTTCAACTTAAAAAGAAAATAATTTACCTCGTAATATTTCCTATGAAAATTTCCTTTTCTCAATCTTTTCATCAGTTTTACATCAAACCCGGCCTTAATGAAATAATACATTTTATAGTAATATTCCTTAAGCACATTTTATGCAGAACCCCCCCCCCCCCCTCGAAAAAACTCATTAATTATGCATTTCCCTTATTGAACGATTTTAGTCACATTTAGATATAACAAAGATACCGATGACATTTAGAAAATTCAAATTCGCTATAAAAATGCTTTTTGAATATTTTGCTATTTTTTAACTTAATTTGACATTTCAATGAATTCCGCTATTGCGCAGAAATATGGATCTTAATAAAATATTAATTAAATCATAAAAACAAAATTCTATTTTAAGATAATCCTGATGAAATTAACTATCAAATTTCAAATTTAATCTTTTAACTCTAAAAAACAATTCTTGTTTTTAAGACATGGTCATCTGTTTAAATTATAAATTGTGTAAAAATCTAATAATTTTTGAATCGTATCTTACCTGGTGACATCTTAAAATATGGGAATTAATTGCTTTCTCCCATTTTGAACCTTTCTGAACAGCCCAGCTTTTGTAATAAGCTTCAATCGGCTCCTAAAGGAATTGAGTCTTTGTCACAAACTCAAATTTGCAAGTTCCAATATCTTTTCAACCTTAAAGCGTAAACCTTTGATATTTCAAACGTAGATTATATTTGGTCGATATCAGAATTCATATTATGAAATATCTAAGGTCTACGACATTGGGTTGCAAAGAGAAGTTAGAAAATCAGAGTTTGTGGCAAAGACTCAATTCCTTTGTTTTCATGAAACTAGCATTTCTCTTTCTTTAGGGAATGCTAATTGCCCGATTATAGATACTTTAAAAGATAAAATTAATTATCAAGTTAGTTTGAAATGTTTTGCCCACCAAATACTTAATAAATTTATTTCTTGTCATTCCAATAACCATACAGAACCATTACATCAAGGTAATTTTAATTTGCAACATTAACTTCATGGTTCTCATGGTAACCTTGCTGAAGTGGAAAGGGGGATGTTCTAGTTCGTAGAGTTCAGAATTCCCTTGAATAACATCTAGCGCAGTGTCCTAAGCATAAAGGGAATCATCTTTAAGGGACTGTAGAAGTAATTCCGAGTGACTCTAAATGTTCAATTTATTACGGCTCCCTCAAAAAGTTTTAAACCATTATCATTAGCACTATCTGACTGAGGGAGATATCGTTGTTGTCTTCTGTTCTTTAAATATGCAGAATTGTGACATTTCCCTCACTGTCCCTGCAGCATAAATTTGCATGTCACTTTTTTGGAGAACCAGCAGTTAAAAATCATCATTTTTTTGCTAGAGAAATAATGATATCTCATTCTTGCCTTGATCAAACAAAGATTTAAAGGGAACAGTTAAGCAAAATTTATATCAGGGAAGATTTTGTGATTTCTTAAAAACTAATTATTTAAAATTAAATATAATTTTTTTGTAGGGTGTAGAAGTGTATTGGTTATCATTAAAGAGTGTAATAATTGAAGAAAATATAATTATGTTCACCTCTGATAGACTTAGGACGACATTTGACATGTTTTTCAGCATTCTCAATAAAACAACCTCAGTCGGCTCTATCTGCACCAAATATAAAAATTATAAATATGATATAAATGGGCAATGTTCTCCTGCACCTAACTCCAATTTCTATTTACATCTCTGACTTATGTTCTTTCACATTTACATTCAGGTTTACCCAAAATCGATGAGACTAAAAAGACGACCCAAAACTCTTTAAATATTAACATTTTTAAATTTTGACTTTAATGGTTATTGTATCGTTGAAACTGAAGAGGGTCAACCCAGACCAAAAATGGTGAACTAACACCTACTTCATATACACTATGAGATTAGGATCATCATCAACACAAAATTGTAAGTTTTATATTTGATCTTTAGCTTGCAGTAAAACCTTCTACTGATTTAATAAATGGTAAATCTTTTTTTTTAATGCAGGGAAGCATGGGTGTAAGAAAATAGAACTGGAGTCTAATTCTTTTTGGGTAACCCTGTAACAACTTGATACTTAAGACGTAATGTACAGCTTTAAAGGTGTCCTATCAGTATGACTAATCATTGATTAAACTAACGTTTCGTTTGGATTAATGGTCAAATGGACTAAAGTCCATTTACACAAATATTTGTTCAATTAAACTAATCTTACAATTTAAAAAAATTTCCTCCTTTTAAATGATTTTTTTACAACAAAAATATTTTAGGGTTATAGGTTAGGTCGGAACAATTTCTGGACTGAGCGCTGCGGCTAGGACAGACTAGGGGACCGAGCGTTGCGACTAGGACATGCTATGGTTCTACAGTTCAAATGGAACAGCTGACTAATGTCAATATGGGAGTTAGTCCAATCAGCCTTTAGTCCCATCGCTACAGCATCGCTTTAAAAGTTATGGCAAAGAAGAAACCGAAATTACGCCGACGCGACTATAGAAATATTGCATTTACCTGTGGATTATAAGTTTTATGATTGTCCAGTATCTTGACCTGCCAGGGGTTAGGTGAGGATTGTAGAATAGAAAACTGACGAGATGCTTCCAAAATAAATCCAGTCTTTGAAATATACAGGAAATATTAGAGGAAAGTATGGATGTAATGTGAAAACCAGAAAACCCTGGAATAGGAAGACGACTTATAGACTGAAATAAATGAGCTTAATTTATCGACAGAACTGACTTTGAAGTGTAAAAAGACAAATTTCACCCATAAGTGATCTAATAAGTCACTTGTGAAACTATTTGCATTGTAACAACATCAAATACACGTAATTATAGTTTCAGGGTCGTCTTCCTTTTCTACAGTTTCTACGTCACCTATATTCATTATTATAAGATTATAATGTTTGTAAGTAAACTGACAATATATTCTAATTAATATCACCTTTTTACTTTTAACAATTTGTTCAGCAGTATCAATTGGTGCGTTGTAGGAAGGATTTAAAAGAATTGCTCTAAAAAGGTTAAATTAACTTTTTATAACACTGTTATTTTGGTTTGCAGTGTTATAAAGTTTTGGACGAAATTTTCTCTTTATCGAGATTTAGATTTAATTTTAATAATTCAAAAAACTTTATAGCACGTCGTGCCAAAATTATAGTGTTTTAGGTATTTTTTTTGAAACGTTTGTGTACTTGTCCTATTTCAATGGCTATTTCTATAGATCAAATAAGCTTTGAAACAAGGCAAAAGTAAAAAAAAATAAAGTTGATTAAGATTTTATTTTCATTTCAATTGAAAAAAATTATTTAGAAATATCCTAAATTTTTTGGAGAAAATCCTGGAACCGATCAAAACTTTATAGCACACGTACAGCTAATTTAACTTTATAGCACACGTGTTATAATGTACAGCTAACTTTATAGTACGATGATTACTTTATTGCACGTTTATTATGAAATTCACGATGAAGTGAGTAAGACTCCAATGATGACCTATACAGTACACTCTTTAAATGTTCCAATTGTACCGCGAATGTAAAAGGCTGAATATATTCTGTACAATCGTCTCTCAAGTAACTTTTGTGGATAACCCCGATTGTGTTCCATGTCTGTATTGGGACGTTTTTGTGTTGTATTAGACACGTAGTAAAAACAAAACCCACTAACAACATCACAAGAAACTTCATTTAGATAAACTTTGATTTGATTGTTTTAGGTTTGAAACAAAAGTAACATACATTTTCATTATTATTATTCAAAGTGAAATTAATATTATTGATTTCCGCGCAGATATGATTAATCGAAATAAAATTGCTGAGAAAAATATAGCTTTAAGAGTTTAATTTTGGTAGATCTTATTGATATTTATAAAGAATCCGTATTTCTGGCATTTTTTAAATATGCTTTTAAAAATACCAATAAGTTTGAAAATTTTATAGTTTTGTCATTTTTAATATACAAAGGATCGGAAACTTATAAGTCGTGCAAATTCTTTTTGGTGAACACTTTGTCATTAAATATGAATCAAAGATTAAAGACGATATTTAAGTCGTCTCTCCAATGTCATAATCCAGACTGGACAAACACCAGGCTCGAATATATTTTGAAGACGACATTCTATAAGTCCAGTGAAGCCAAGAGGATACATATTTGTAAATTAAGATACATTAGTACCTCTTGCAATACAAATTTGTGTCATTTTATAACGTAAATGTTTACAAAATTCTGTTTTACCCTTTATAAACCTGAGATTGCAGGAAAATGCTAGAAATATCAGGGTTGAACACAAACCCCAGACTAACAGGATAATATTTCCCGACATGCCTAACAATAAAGAGAAAAAAAGGCAATTAAATACTTTGTTTAAAATAAATTTTTACTGACCCATTTAGGAATTTTTAGGAATTATAAAAATGATTATTTTAAGTTGAAAATCTTAAAATACAACATTTTTAAAAATTTTGACTTTTGACAATAAATCTTTTAAAAATCCTTAAATACTGTTACTGTGTTATAAATACCTTTTCTGGCTTTAAGCTTGAGCCATTTGGGTATTTGATCTTCATTCATGATACACACCACAACAAGTTTGGTATAGCTTAGCTGAAAATAATGAAAGTATGCAATTTTCATGATTTCGTTGGTTTCCATATTATTCTTACCTTATTTTTTGAAGACTCTGGTTCATAGTAAACAATAAGAGGAAGAGTGCCACTTACAGCTAACATGCTATTAAAAAGATATGTTTTGTAACTTTTTTTGAATATGTTTCGAAACTATGACTTACGCCAGCAAATAAATCTGAAATACTGGTTCGTTGAGATGATTTTTTTGTTGTTAACATTTATTTTGATAAAACTTGTAACCTTAGGAAAATAGCAAACCAGCTAAATTCGTCAAACACCTGAAAACAAAGGCAAATAAGAAATGGGCTTTTGAATTTTTTTTTGACATATTTCACCTTTATGATGTTAAGTAGTGGAGATACCTTCCCTGGATACTGAAGCAGAGAGTATTTATTTATATTATATAATGAGATTCAATGTGCTTAAAGTGCTTAAATATACATGAAACCCTCAATCAATCATTTCAACCCTCAAAGGTGATGTTTAAGAAAAAGTGCGGACAAGATTAAGTTAAATTGTAACGAAACAAAGTAGTTACAGACTTTTTGATGAAATTTTAAAAAAACATTAAACTGTGAAAATAAAATATTTTTAAAATAGTAAATAAATAGAAAAAGTGTTGAATATACCTTAGATACCCATAATAGTACTGCATCCCCCACTGGAATTGTATATGTGATAAAATTACTTCTAAATATTAAAAAATCATTAAAACTTTGAAATTAAAAAAATTTAAGTTAAATGGCTGCCAAATTAGCAACAAAAAAGCGCTTATATTTAACAAAATATCAACTCTTTCGCAGCCATCCAAATAAGCGATTTTTTTATGAAAGTCTATGTTTTTTGTCATTTATTTGGCATCCATTCACGTTTTTTGGCGCTTATTTGGCACCCATTTACGTTTTTTGGCGCTTATTTGGCACCCATTCACGTTTTTTGTCGCTTATTTGGCACCCATTTACGTTTTTTGTCGCTTATTTAGCACCCATTTACGTTTTTGTCGCTTATTTGGCACCTATTTACGTTTTTGTCGCTTAATTATTTGCCCGGATTCACGTTTTTTTGATTTTGGAGACTCCTGAAGAAATCAACATTATCAGGGTAACATTGAATGAATTGGACACCCTTGTACACATAAGACTGAATATAATTTTTATCGGAGACCCATGATTAGATTTACCCTTAAGAAACCTTAAATAAGATATTTGATTTGGTTTCTGACCAAGGACCAAAAGTCTCCAAAGAAATTAAATGGTGATAATACAGTTTTCCAATATTTACAGGAATCGACTTTCGACCTAATGGCAAATGACCCAGGGGGCATGCCAAATTCACAACTGTATCTGAAAATTTTAACTTTTCTTTTGTGGTTTCTTTATAAACATGACTTGCAAATTTATGCATAAAAGACAAAGAAAAGAACGACGATATCTTCCTCATTATTACTCAGATAAATAATTTAATTGTACCGTTGTGAATCGGGTAAATAAGGTATATAAATGGGTGGTTACTTGGAATGACATGAACAGTCCCTTTAATCTCCAGAAGGCAAATTACCGTTCTGCGTTGTATCCAATATATCCAACTCCTAGGTCCGCTTTATCGTATCCAACCTTGCAGGCAAAATCTTTTTAATTCTAATCAAGGAATTTCCTCATATACTTGTTCACATAACAATTTTACTGTACTTTGTGTGTGTAATATATGTAAGAATTTCTAAACTCTAAAGTCTCAAAAGAGGAGTAAGGATAATTCGTTCTTTAACAGCAAACCCGCAATTTAAAAATATTTTGTAAACCGGGAGACATGGTTGAACTCCGTACATGTGGTTCAACCAATTTTCCACAGTTTGAACAGGCGCACAATATCTTCTGCATTATTGATCAGCTATAAGTTTTGAGGTCCGTTGTAAATCAGTCATGCTCAGCTTTTTGAATGGAGGAACACTTGAATTTCCAACGATAGTTTATTACTTTTCAGTATTTACCATTCCAATGAGCCCGCTCCAGATTCCAGTTACAGGGTTAGGAGATCCCCATTTATTTCCCATATCAGTGTACACAACATTGCAGTTATATTTTTCTAAACATTTTAGCTTAGTTCAAACTTTAGAATCATCGAGGTCAAAATAACGAAACATGTCGTTGTTTTAATTTTGTCTTCTTATTATGGAACTTAGTTTTTTTTCACAATTATTCTGATTTTCTCATCTCTATATTATTTGCAACCAAATGGCGTAGACCTTTGATATATCAAACTATGACTTTTATTAGATTAAAAAATCTAAGTTTGAAATATTAAAACTTAAAAGTTAACAACATTGCAGGTTACATATATAGGGATTAGAAAGTTTGAGTTTGTGGCAAAGACTCAATTCCTTTCGATAAAATTTTTAGTTCCTTAAAACAGTGGGACCCATATAAAGCTTTAAATCGGAAGAACGAATTTCAAGTCGTGTATTTGATGTTATTACAAATCAACTAGTTTTAATTTTATCATGTAGTTTGGAAATCAGCATATTTAGTGAAATGGGGCAGAGTACACTGTTCTTAGCATTATCCAAAATTATAACATGAGTCTGTTGGTCGTCTTCTTATTACACAGTATTGTGGATCCCATTGTACAGTATTGATATATGTTTATTGTTTACCTATAAACGTACTAAGATATATTCCTTCGAAAGTGTTTGCATCACAGACATTGTTGATTACATTCATCCGAGGAAGGAAAATGTTATATGCTATCCTGGACAGCATGGATCATTTTCATGCAAAAAAAAATAACAAAATAAAAAGGACTTGAATCTTTGTCAAAAACTCTGATTTTCTACTCCCTAAATCTTTGCAACCCAATGTCGTAGTACTTATATATTTCAAACTAAGAATTCTAGAAATATCAATGGTAATCTGACTGCAAAGCTATAGAAAATTTGAGTTTGTGGCTTTTACATGGGAATACACTATTGATAGTTCATAAATTACAACCTTTTTCTCAAGATTTTAGGAGTTTTGAAAAGAACTTTATAGCAAATTCCTTGCTCTTAAGTTTTCTGTTTCAAGTTGATCTCGGCAGTATACGAGCAGGGGTTAAATCGACCCTGGAAAGTTTACCTTCTTCGTAGAAAAAATCCGACCTCTTGGAATATATGAAATGTGATTTTTGTCTTACGATAATAATATAAATCGTTTTGCAGCTTGATGAATTCATAATTTGAAATATCGAAGGCCTATAACGACATTCGATGGCAAAGATATGATGATTAGAAAATCAAAGTTAGTGACAAAGACTCATGATGTTCTTTAAAGATTCTTAAATTGTAGACGAATACGTGATTGAATTTAAATTAAACAAATAAAACGCACCTAGCCCTGCGTAACCCATGGAGGGTGGCTTTCGCATAACAAAAAAAGTATTTTTATCAATATTTGTGTAGTTCTAGGCTTTGTTAATTAGCGTCTTGTTTGTGATATCTCTAGAAAAAATACGAAAAAATAGTGCAATTCTAACTTTCAACAATTTAAAAAAAAAAAATTTTGAAAATGATATTCTAATTTCAAAATAAAAACTAATTCAATCTTTTATAACTTCATGTAATGAAAACTTTACCTTAAGTGTCTGTTCTCCAAAGATTGAATTGTTTTTATATTCTTTCCCTCTTTAAACATTAGTCTTGAATATACCTTAGACCAGACTCCAGTATAAAGCTCTCCATGTATACTCCTTAACGGGAGTGACCGGCAATGTATGGTGGTTGAACTGAATATGTAGTATCGTGGAAAAGTTTTTTTAGGGTTCATTTATATCACATAAAACTATTCTGCAAAGTATATTTACTGAGTTTGATCGCCGACTTTCATAAGCATCTTATTGGTTGGATACGTTTCCAGAATCGTTTTTTTAATTATTAAATAACGACGACAAAAATGTAAAACAAAAATCTACAGTTAACTAATTATAGTCGTTTAGGAACAGGTTGAGAAAATAAATATTAACTCTTATCATCAAAATGAATATAATATATTCATGTTAAATTTATTTTGTCATTAAAAATTTTAAAATTTTTTTTCAAGTACGCGCCATTCACATCAACAACAAGTTTGGATTGAGCGGAAACAACTAATTAGTTTACTTACATAATTTTTTAACATTTTTTGTCGTCGTTATTTTAACTATTTATAATACTCTTATTTTGATTCGCAGTGTTATGAAGTTTTTGGACAGAAATTTTTTCTTTATAGAGATTTAATTTTGTTCCGAGCTTTAGCGAGGGAAAAAATATAATTTAAAAAGGCGAGAACCTTCGAGATATAGAGAAAATTAAGTCCAAAAACTTTAAAGCACGTCGTGCCAAAATAGTAGTAATAAAGGTAATTTTATGAAACGTTTGTGTACTTGTCTTATTTCAATGGCTATTTCTAGATCAAATAAGCTTTGAAACAAAGCAGAAGTCAAAATAAAAAGTTGATTTTAATTTTATTTTAATTTCAACAGAAAAAAATAATTTGGAAATATCCTAAATTGTTCGGAGAAAATCCGGGAACCAATCAAAACTGTATATCACACGTGCTGTAATGTACAGCTAATTAAACTTTATAGCACGATGATTGCGTTCATTATGAAACTCACGATGAAGTGAGGAAGAATGTTAAAGTACACAATAGTTTCATAAAATAATTTTTTTAATGATTCTCAGGATGTTTCTTCCCAAAAAGATGATTTTGAAAGTCGACTTTGCTATCAAACTGAGTAAATATAACTATAAGTCGTAGAATAGATTAATATGTCTCATATGAATCCTAAAAAAAATTTCCACAATACTACAAATTCATTTTAACCACCTATACATTGCCGGTCACTCCTTTTAATACCAAATTATATATATATATATATTTCTCCACCAACCTGAATTTGATGTTGGGAGAATCAGATCTAATAATGATTGTTGAAACACCCTCCGTGTCTAATATTTTATATTATTTATGAACATTTTTTTTGAAAATTAAAACAAGATTGGAATTTAAATGTCATGCATGTTCCATTTACACTTGTTCTATAAAACCTTTATCTGGGGTTCCATTCGCAAATATTTTGCGCAATTTTCTCGAATGAAATAGCAAATTATTGCTTTAAATTTGCGCATTTCCACTTTGCATTATTCTGTTTTGTGCAATTTTGCGGAACAAATTCTCAATAAAAATTGAAATAATGCACGATGTGAATTGTAAAAATTAGTTATCTTAGCGAACTTTTAGGCATACAAGTGTACTGCTTAAAGGGACCGTTCACCTATTTGGATAATTTCAGGGCAAAATAAACAGGCTATTTGCTGTTTATTGGTATTAGTCTTACTTTTCAAAGGCAACTGTGGCTGGAGAAAAAACCGTTTTTTTGTTCAGAATTCGAGCGCAAAGGTATTGTACCTTTACCATATACACTATTTGATGTTTTTGTCAATATGTTGTGGATCAAAATAAATTTCGAACATAAAATTAAACTGTAGTATCTAATCGTTAATTTTAAATGTCATAATTTTTAAAATTTAGTTTTTTTTAACTGCAACATTCCATTTTTAGAAAGTGAAGAATACGACATTTAATGAATTTTTTCGAAGTATGGCTTATTTAGGGTTTAACTGTAGTTAAAAGCATGAATATCTTATTCATTCTTTACCCAAAGAATCAGTTTTGTCAATTACCATTATATCAACTGGCCCAAATATGTACTTTTTTCAGTTTGGTACATTTGGAATAAAGAAAAAGAGCAAAAATTGTTTTTGAAAAGTTATTTTGGATAGAAAATAGAAAATATTCCTTCTGTAAAGTTTTCTTTTTGTGGATCTGTTTGAATGATCAACCTGGGTTTCAAACCTGATACAACTGTACCCTCAAACTCCTAGACTTGATTTTCAAGTTATAAATTCAGATTTTCAAATGATTCATTCAGTTTTCCAAAAATTTAGACTCTTAAAGTTTTGAACTTTTAAAGGTTCCCAAAAATTCACAGAGGTTTTTAAAATCATACAGTGAACCCTTAATAACGAATACATCGAATGAATTCATCAAATGTCGTATTCTTCACTTTCTGATAATGGAATGTTGCAGATATTTAGTTTTTTAATTAAATGATTATATGGAACTCTTTAAAACTGCTCCTGCATATTCATGGCTATTTATTTATTTTCGCAAATACTGAAATTCACGAAATATAGTATAAAACTCATTGAAAAATTGTCAAGACGACATTTGATAAATTCTTCCGATGTATTCGTTATTAAGGGTTTCACTGTAAATATATATTTAAACATCTAAAATGTATATTTAAACTGAAAACAGTTGAAAATACTATATAAATATATATATATGTCAGAAATAGCTGACAAAACGGCTCGACCATTTTGACCAAACATTATCGAGGGAACCTATCGGTAGGGCTGGGAAAGGTTCCGTTTACTGGGTGGAGGTTTTCAAAAGAGTCCGTTAACGAAAAGTAAAAACCGTTAATTTAGAAATCGTCAACGAAACGGATTAGCCGTTTTAGAAAAAAAATTAACGGTAGAAAAAAAAACGAAACGGATATTTTTAAAACGGTGATTTTCTTTTTTCTGCTTAAAATTGCATTAAACTTATAAAATAAGAATAAAATTGTTTGTGTTTTGATGGTTTTAAATGTCGTCTTATGTGTTTGACAAACTGTTAACGCCGTTGATACTACAATAGACAGTTAACGCCTGCACCGTTGACGATTTCATAAACCGTTAACGTATTTGACAAACCGTTAACGATTTCTTTTAATAGTTAGTGAAAAGTTTCCGTTAACGTCGTTAATAATATTGAGATTGTTAACTACAGGGTGTCCCACGAAACATAACAATAGCAAGACGACTTGAAAGTCGTCTTTGGTATTTGAATTTATTTGTGACATTTAGTCTTTTATCTACTTTAACATGTATGATTCTTGAAACAATTATCACATAATTCTCCTAGCCCTGGCATTTCCAAAAAGTGGCCTGCGTTTTTTGTGCTTTCAATATTACCGGAGATATAAAGAGTTTGGTTCAGATTTCAATTTTGTTAAATAAAAGCAAAATTGTCGAAATCTTAACGAAATTCTTCATATCTCGGGCAATATTGAAAGCACAAAAATGGCAGACCACATTTTGGAAATGGCAGGACAAGGGAAATTTTGTGATTATTATCTCTAGAAATTTACTTCTAAAATTAGGTTGGCAAATAAACGCAGCAAATTATATCAAAAATCAAGACGACATTCAAGTCGTTCTGCATACTGTCATGTTTCGTGGGACACCCTGTAACAGTAATTTTAAAAAAACGGAAAATGTTGTTATATAAACGAACGTTCCATTCTTACCTCTAAAATTAACGGCTACCTGTAATTTTAAATTTTTAACGATTAGAACTAACTGTTAACGGAACGGCTAGAAAAAGTTGGAACGTGCCCAGCACAACCCATGGGTGCCAATGAGTACCTCAGGGTTGACTTGGGCTAAAACAAATTGAAAATGTTTGAATAATAATATAAATCTGGGCAATCCAGCTAGTCGTAAAGTGTGCATGGAGGTTCACTTTAAACGAAAAATTCCCTGATTTGTTATTACAAAATAACATTTAGAATTGAGGCTTGCTGGTTCAATCAGTTGTTTAAGAGAGGAAATATCTTTTAGAAATATTTTCAAGTTGTCTGTTCCAGTTCCAGTTTCCAGCCTTCAACAAAAATATATTTAAATAAAAAATTATATGAACAAAAAAAAATTAGTTTTAACGTATTACCCGATGATTACTTCAAGACATTTTTTCTCGTTAGGACTAAAATTAAACTTTTTCTCGATAAGCCAAACTAAGCACATTTTTCAACAACAATGAGAGAAAACGGCCAAGAGATTTAATATAAAAAGATAATTTTTATTTTAAAAAAAGTTTATAATTGGTAATTGTTGTCCTCGTCATATTTAGTAAAATGTTGGTTATAGTTTTCATTATTGACTTTTACTCTGGATTTGGGCTGGGATCCCAAAAACCCAGTTTTTTAATTTGTGCCCATTTCTAACACTCAGTGTTAGTTTTGGAACTAATGTCCCCTGAATTAAAAATAACCAATTTCCAGATAGAAACCCAAGCATCATATACTCCATCAATTTTACTCTAATTAGAGGATATCATTGTAAAACAGACATGTAATTTTTCACAATTCTTGTCAATTGAATTTACGCCTCCGGTAGATTTTAATCTTTGAACAATAGAATTGAAAAGAAAAAATTTTCCTTGTAAATGAAGCGATGATGTTTCTTAAATCTGATGTTGGAGGAGTTTTCATTTTATTTGTGGGTTTGCTCCCAAAAACTGAACTAAACCATAAAAGGTAAAGTTGAGATAAAATCAAAATCATCTGAAATGATCAAAAACGTGAAAAATATTATGAACTAGGATAAAAGATTTTTTGGTTATTTTCTGTTTTTGTGTAAAATTACACTTTTTAATGAAAAGTCAAACCGACCACTTTTTTTTTAACCCTTTTTCTGCTGGGGGGGGTCAATTTGACCCCCCCCCCTGTAGTTTTTTTTACCTAACTTAAAAAGTATTGGTCTGAGGCTGTTGAAATTTTCTGACTTTTCCTACATACCCAAAGCCCTCCCTTCAGGCCTAAAACCGGGCTTTAATCCTAACTGCCTGAGTCCTCAGGCACACTGCCTGAATGAATGCTTTTTCCTGTAACAAACTAAATCTTTGTTTTGACCAACTTCCACTTGTCAGATTTTCATAAAATTTAGCTTTTTGGAAAGCCTTTGACATAAGGAAACGAATTGTATAAGTTTTGCGATAAAAAATTCAATTTTTGCAAAGTTGCAATTTTTTTTGCAGATTCTAAAAGCAGAGCACAAGAGCTTTCTAATGATGTATCATTTGTCATATTTGGACATCAAACATGGGATTTAGAGGGGGGGGGCAAAATGCCCCCCCCCCCCCCAGCATATCCTGGTTTTCAAGTACCCCAGCAGAGATAGGGTTAAACGACGCCTTCGAGACTTTTAGCTTACTGAAGAATGCTGGTTGTTTTAATCTTATTTAAAGCTGAATTTTATATTATTTTTACGCATTTGTATTCTGTATCCTACCGTGTGTCACTCCCGATATTAAATAACAAGATATTAGGAAACGATGGTAAAAAATAATCGTCATGCAATATTTTGTTGTTTCAGTTATAAAATACAGAAAATAAAAATATATAAAATATGAATGTATCACTAGATCTTTTCAATCTGATGTTGCACACCTTTGATATTTCGAACTTAGACTTTTGATCTAACAGAATTCATAGTTTGAAATATCAAAGTTCTACGAAATCGGGTTGCAAGGATAGGTGTTAAAAATAGAGATTGTGACAAAAGCTCATTTCTTCCATGTTGAAGCAAGGTTTATGAATGTTTTCTTAAATATGTTAGCTTTTGGGAAATTGCTTTTGAAGAAATGGCCTTCTTTAAGAGAAAACGATATTTTTAAAAAATTGTGGAAGACGACTATCGGCCTCCTTAGCAGACCTCCACAACAAGAGAAGATATACTACGTGGCATGGAACATTCTAGATTCCTCATGTGATAGCTATATAAACTGTAATGGATTTATCGAGGATTATTGTTATAGTTAGACCTAAATATATACTGGTAATAATGCTCGTGCTTCAATAGAGTTCGTCCTTTCGACCTCTATATTTGGTGACCCCAACAAAGAACTCTCAGTGATTACCGAAACCCAGTATTCAGGTCGCAATAGTGAAGCTTTTCTGAATTTTTAAAGTGATTCTGCTTGAGATGTCGGAGGATAACCCCGCTCAGTCTTCCACGCAGTTCGTCACGAAGGTTGCCGTCAAGCTCCCGGACCGCCCGTCCTTCGACCTCTATAAAATGTTCTTTTCGTTTTCACTCGTTTGTTGAAGCCCGATAGGCAACTTAAGTATTTATTGGGAAGGGGGAATGAAGGAGTATTTTGCAAAAACGTCAAAGAAGGAGAAAAGTCGTTTTCAACCCCCCTACACGGTACACCCACACTGCCACTCAATAAACCCCTCCTATTTTATTTGAAAAAGTTCGATTTAAGATTATTAATTGAAGATCTCGTTATTTTGATGATGCATTATTTGGGTGCGCACGCGGGGGAGTAATGTATGGATGCACACATGTTCTTTAACCACGCTGTCATATCTAGAGTCTAGACCAAAGAAAAATAAATAGACCAGAGAAAATGTTAGAATGTGTTTTTGAAGGGAGTGACCGGCAATGAATGGTAGTTGAACTGACAATGCAGTTTTGGAATGACATTTTTAAAGATTCATTTGAGACCTATAGGCTATAAGACGTTTTTACGGTGCAAATTTGTTCAGCAAGAGTACAAATTTAATTTTTAAAATCCTCCTTCATTTTACATTCTGTAGAGATGATTTTGAGATTCGGTTCTTTTTTTAATTATTCAATAACAAGGGCAAATAATGTAACAGAAATTCTAAAGCAAACTAATTGGATGTATAGGAACATATTTCTCAACAGATTATTTGTCAATAAATTAATACCCCCCCCAGCGTATCCTGGTTTTCAAGTACCCCAGCGGGGATAGGGTTAAGATTCATTTGAGATCTATAAGACGTTTTTACGGTGCACATTTGTTCAGCAAGAGTACAAATTTAATTTTTAAAATCCTCCTTCATTGTACATTCTGGAGAGATGATTCTTATTTTAATTATTCAATAACAACTGCAAATAATGTAACAGAAATTCTAAAGTAAACTAATTGGATGTTCAGGAATATATTTCTCAACAGATTATTTGTCAATAAATCAATGTTAAAATCAATTATTTCCTTTTCATCATTATATTGAATTTCTTTTTTTTTTGAATAAAAATTGCTGGAAATCTACAGAAATGTTTTTAAAAATGAGACATTACAGAAACTAATAATACCAGAGTTTGAAAATAAAAGTTTAATTTTTATATTCTCAATTTTTGATTTTCAAATCTCACTACCCTCAATACCCACAGTTTGAAAATAAAAGTTGAAATTTTTTATTTGGATTTTTGATTTTCAAATCTCACTACCGTCAATACCAGAGTTTGAAAATAAAAGTTTAAATTTTATATTCTCATTTTGGATTTTGAAATCTCACTACCGCCACTACCACAGTTTGAAAATAAAAGTTTAAATTTTATATTCTCATTTTGGATTTTTAAATCTCACTACCGTCAATACCAGATATTGAAAATTAAAGATTAAATTTTATATTCTCATTTTGGATTTTGAAATCTCACTACCGCCAATACCAGAGTTTAAAAATAAAAGTTTAAATTTTATATTCTCATTTTGGATTTTCAAATCTCACTACATACCACAGTTTAAAAATAAAAGTTTACATTTTATATTCCATTTTGAATTTTCAAATCTCACTACCGCCAATACAACAGTGTGGAAAAAAAAGATTAAATTTCATATTCTCATTTTGGATTTTCAAATCTTACTACCACCAATACCACAGTTTGAAAATAAAAGTTTTAATTTTATATTCTAATTTTAGAATTTCAAATCTCACTACCGCCAAAACTTATAGTTTAAAAGTATTTACATTTTCTAATTTCGAAAAAAAGGCATTTAATAATCTAAAAAGTCTCAAAAAAATGTACAAAAACTAACTCTCAAAGCCTTCAATAACATTTTTCTTTAAATTTATACATAAAATTTTCGCTCAAAAAGAAGGCATTTTATACAAACACAAAAGTCCATAGGTGAAGGCTAGCTAAGAAGAGCGGTCTATATACTCCAGTCCCCTCTGCTCTCGATTTTTTATTTCTTTAAAACAATTTTAGAAAATGTTATCTTTTTAACTACGTATTTAGTAAGCTGAAATTTTCTTATCTTTGTATATCGACAATATTCTTCAATTTCGACGCAGTAGTCATTGATCAAATTAACAATGAAGGGACTTCTTATTACACTGTTTTTGGCTTTCTTTATCGCAGGTAAAAATTATCATACAGTTTTCGTCTCCCCCCACTTTGAAAAAAATTGGCATCTTGAAAGGGTCAGTCGTTTTTTTATTTTTTTAAAACTTGTTTAAAAACCAAAAAAATTTGTTGAAATTATTAAACAAAATTCGGTGAGTTTTGAGTTTTTTTCTGGATTGATTAACAAAAACAAACAAAAAATTTGGAACAATTAGACCCAAACTTACAAACTAAAAAATAAACGAAGCACTCTCTTATTAATAAATATAGGTGTACTAAGCTACCCCTCCCTTTCTGAGCCTGGAGTTGGCGAACCCTGTTCTACTGAAGCTGACTGTCCAGAGATGGGAACATATTGTAATACCGAAACCATGACTTGCGACCCAGGTGAAAAAAATCTTTGAATACCCTGAGATCAGCGGTGGTTTAAGGGATGGCAAAAATATGTGGGTGCAACTTAAAGGGAGAGACATATCTGAACCGAGAGTGCAGAGTTATAGAGAAACATTTTATGATTCATTCGATAACATTAGTAAGTGCGAAAATTTGCTTGTAAAATTTAACCAGAAGGGATGGTCCGCCCCGAAGAAACGTTCTTTCAAAAAATGTAATAAAAATTACACTGTCAAATAATTTAAGATTGGTGGTATATATCTGTTAGTCCCTTTAAATTATTTTATAGAAACGGGTTTACAGGTTCTTTACAATTTTTCATTTTTTTTTTTAAGGATGTAACGACAACGATGATTGCCCTCCTGGACACTGGTGTATTCTTGTCAATCATATTTGTCAGTGTTAAATATCTTTATATTTAAGAATAAAATAATATCAGGTTAAAATTCCTAGATTTGATAATAAAATTGTTAATTGCTATAAATATATAATTTATCATTTTAGCCAAATACAAATTCCAGTTGCCTTCCACTCACACGTACACTTTACGCCCAGCAAGCCCACCAGTGCTAGGGTTAAAGAGTAAGGGTTTATTACATCATCTTTTAACAAATGATAGAATTAGACCAATTTTAAATAATGAATCCTGTGCATTGTAAGATATGAGGGTACACCCACTTGAATCTAGGTTATTTATAATCTACAGGAATACCTACAAAGACTGAGACTGTAATGACGACTTGAAGTTCATCAAATCTGACGATTAAAAGTTTTTTTATTTGATCTTCTGCTCTGAATATAATCGTTTTAAAGTAGGATTAATGACTTGGGAAAGAAACGGGTAAATATAGCTACGAAGAACCATGATTATAAAGCTAAAGGATTAAATTACGTAAGTCGTTTATGAAGTACCATCCTTTGTGGATAACCGTGTGTGTTAATATTGGGAGCCCGGCCGGAGAATTATCTAAATTATAAACATCAAAAATATGAATAAAAAATACT